CAGTGCTCGGACTTGTGTTGCGTAGTCACTAGGAGGTACCTCTATCTCTGTCCATGGACCGTGCGTGTTGTGCTTCCATGGCGTTGAGGGACGTTTCATGCATGTTTGCCGCCACTGCGTCGGCGAATGGGTGGCTTTGTTCGGGAGATGGCGAAGAATAGGACAGATCCATATAGCCTGGTTTAGAACATGCTTGTGGAATTGAAGTCACTGGAATCGGGTGATTTGAATAGGATTCCGTTGACCCCTTGGTCTTTTGTATGCGGAGAGACCAATTGCATATAGATTTTCTAGCTACCTGGGCTTATTTGACACAACGCCTTTGTCCCGAATATACTGCGATAGGGACTTCCTTTTATGGGAGATCTGGCAACCGAGTGATCATACTTTGGGAATTTGATGGTCACCGAGGGTTCTAAGTGTTGTTGCTGATGAACATTTAGATTCATTTTTCATTATGCAGCAAGTTGATGTGCTTGCTGAAATTCTTTCGCTCTGGCAATTCTATCCAGGCTATATATCATTCCAATTTGAAATGCAAACTGGGAGCCTGCGAAGAAATTGCATGGCATGTTTAGATGTATGCATTCTCCTGAAACCTCAGCTCAGCCCATTTTACGCCTAAGGCCCGTAACCTTCCAAAGAAGAATCGACGATGGAATCAAGCCATTTTCCATCTTCTTGTTATGTTCAACCATTTTCAAGTTTCATCGGGTGCCCAGAAATCTACCCGTCGAGAACCACTCTGTAACAGTGGCACAAGACAAAAATTCTTTCAAGGCAGTCCAGACTCAAAGTCGGAAAGAGACGAAGTTGAAGTTGAAGTTGAAGGGAAATCGAAAGTGAAGAAGGTGAAGGTGAAGCTGAAAGCGGGAGATCACCCATTGGTGGAGCCAACCTCCCACATTTACCGATCCTTGGTCTTCACCATCTTCTGTTTACTTCCGGGATTTTGTCAAACCCTCCAGGCTCATGTCTCATCAAAGTTCCGGATTGGCGGATCTTGAGAAAGAGCTGGTATGCTCGGTATGTACTCGGTCCATTCCACCCCTTACGTTTCTAACACCGCTCTTTGCCCCAGATTTGTACCGAGCTCCTCTATCAGCCCCTCACTCTCCTCGACTGCCTCCACACGTTTTGCGGATCCTGCGTGAAAGAATGGTTCTCCGCGCAAGGGTCGCGTCGCTCCCGTGCCTCGCCCCGATTCACCTGCCCATCCTGTCGCACTGAAGTGCGCGACACCCGCCCAAATGCCACCGTCACGACCCTGCTGGACATGGTCCTGAGCGCGCACCCAGATCGTGATAGAGCGACAGATGAAAAGGCAGAAATTGCTACTAGGTACACACACGGCGAGTCGGTGTTCCCAACACTTCCTTCGGGCGGGGAAAGCGCGGAAGAGGATGGCGAGGAAGATAGACGCATTATAGAGGAGGTACGCGAGCTGAGTCTACGCGAAAGCCGCGCACAAGCTAGGCGCGAGGCTCGGCGAACGGGTCAGTCTTCGCGGACGCGCGAGAGGAGCACCCATACTGAGAGGCCTGAGGACGGCCGGTCAAGGCGGCGGAGAGATGATGATACGACGCGGCAGCGTACATTACGGCCCGATGATTCGGACCACACGCGACGGGTCGAGCATCAATCCAGTCTGCGGTCATTACTGAGTTTGTCATCTGATGCCGAGACTATGGAGGCAGAGATCTTGCGGCAGATCCTTGAGGATGGATTATTGGACAACATTAATCTTGATAATCTTGGCCCAAGGCAAGAAGAGGAACTCAGTGAACGCATCGCGGAGGCTTATCGTCGGAGACATATGCGAAGACCGCAGTCTCGTCAGCGACAAGAACATGGACGGGAACATCGGCAAGAGGCTGACGGGGCTACACGAACACATACGAGGTCCGAGTCCGCCCATAGGACTGCGGAACCAACAGCGGCTACCCGAGAACACAACGTTAGACGACCGCCAATTTCCAGACCGCATCTGTTCGACTCAGCTCCCACGCGGCCTAGCACCGCAGGCCACCAGAGGCGTAACTCGGAACAAGTGGATGGGCGCCGAAGAACCTCGCCTGTCCGGACAAATCAGGCGTCTGCGTCAGATGAAGCCATAAGGCCTGCTGCCCGATCCTCGAGCGATATCACTGCGGATCGCCACCTCACTCAAGCTGGGCGCGTACGATCAGAATCATCATCAGCTAGGCCGCGACGTGCCACAGAGTCAGAACAGAATATCTCTAGAACGTGGGTGGCCGGAGGACGAGAACGAAGTTCTTCTAGACAGGCCGCGAGCCAATCAGCCACGAACTCTCCCACTTCTGGCTCTGTGCCTTCAAGTTCATCTCGCCGTTCAACACCCACAGACCACACCCTTCCCTCACTATCGTCACCCCTTGTTCCAGTTCGATCAGATAGACGAACAAGACCATCTTCGTCGCGATCGAATGTTCCTGCGTCTCCCACTGTACAATTCCCCGAACCGTCCATCTCGTGTGACCGTTGCGGAAAGAACAACATTCAATATGATCTGCATAAGAAATGCACAATTTGCAAGGAAGGAAACTTCCACCTGTGTCTACGATGTTACCGCTCGGGACGTGGCTGTCTCCGGTGGAACGGATTCGGCGCATCAGCACATACGACCTTTCAACGGATCATATCGTCGTCTACTCGACGCCCTATACACATTAATGACCCAGGTCATGTCTTAGTGTGGCTTAAATATCAGCGACCCTCCGATACTGCCCATCGGACCATGAGCGGAGAAAGACAATTGACCAGTGACAACCCAGTCCGGCGGCTACAAAGCGGTCTCTTCTGTGACACGTGCCAATCGTCGGCGAACGATTGTTTCTGGGAATGTAGCCAGTGCAACGAGGGAGACTGGGGGTTCTGTAACTCCTGCGTCAATCGAGGACGATGCTGCACTCACGCCCTGTTGCCGATCCGGCGCATTACCCATAGTCCACATCCATCAGCACCGTCGATCACACCGCCGCCGGCTGGATCAAATACCCTCCACACGTCATCTGAGGTCGAAACCTTCAAAATTCTCTCATTCTCAACGAACTGCGATATCTGCACCTACCCAATCCCAGCCTCCAATACCCGGTATCATTGCCTGGAATGCAATGGTGGTGACTACGACGTCTGTACAAACTGTTACCTCAAACTCGTAGCAACGGGCAAAATCAACAAAGAGAACGGACACAACGGCTGGCGCCGCTGCCTCGCCGGCCACCGCATGATAGTAGTCGGCTTCGAAGACCGCGAAGAAGGCCAGCGCCGCGTCGTCGTCCGCGATCTTGTGGGTGGCCGTGCTCTGAAAGACGAGCACGTAGCACAATCACAATTACAATCACCAACTTCTTCCCCAGCAACCGGCGGCCCTGTTGCATCTCCAGAACTAGGAACCGGTGACTGGAGCTGGAAGGACGGCCCTGAGCGCCGTAAGAAAGCATCCCGTCTGCGCGGTTGTCCTGTTCCCACGATTAGTGCAACCGGAAGCACTGTCTCTGCTTCTGATCCCTCGAATCCATGCCATTCCACTGCTACCACGACTCCGATTCAGGGTATCCCGCCCTTCCGCCGGTTCCCGCCTGACGGTGGTGTCGGGCTTGTCGTCCACGCTCTGTGGTCCTGGTACCCGGAAGAAGAAGTTGAAGACGAGCTTGGGTTCCCGCGCGGTGCGCATATCACCGAGGCAGAGAATATCAACGACGATTGGTTCTGGGGATGCTATGCTGGTCGAACAGGTCTGTTTCCTGGTTCGCATGTTCAAGTCGTCAGGGAGGTTCTTAGGTAAAGATGTCTTGCCTTCTTTGCTTTTGAATTTCGCACGTACATATGACACGCATGACATGCCTCGTATACCCGTTCTGTTCTTCTTTTCGTTTACTTCTGTTCGTTGCATAGTTACGATAGTTATGATGGTCTGAGTTATGAATCTGAATGCTGCATGAGCATTTTCTCGCATTGCATACATAGTATATTGTTAGAGTCAATGAGAACTATATCTATACCAAACTGGAACGGATAAACCTGTGATGTATCCCTACCAGTAGGACTATTGATCCATATACCGAAGGCACAGACCAGCCACCCCACCAATTAGACCGCCAACCAGTATGCCTATATAGACATGTATGGCATAATACTTTACCACGCGTGCCTTGGAAATTCCCACTCAACTGTAGTCTTTGTTGGCTTTGAGCGTTCGCTTTGGGGGCTCGGGCAATTTCTCAATATCAACATCGGCCCTGTCCTAAGGGGACATGTGCGCGCGAGTTCCTGTTTGTGGATTCCATCCTGTGCGGTCTTAATACTTTGGAAATCTACTTTGATATCGGTATACCAAGAGAGTTCGGGACTATGATTGATGCCAACCATCACTAAACACTCAGACGTCGAAGGCAAGCTATAGGTGTACATATCTACGATTAGGTTGCCAATACGGAGTACTTATTGACTCATCGAAAAACAAATTACGTACGTAGATTCTGTCGACGATCTTTGGGGCCAAGGGGGCCAGGGCCGGGGGCCAAAACAGTACTGTGGGCAAAATGCATCAATCTGCTCGGGTTCAGGGAGCTCCAGATCGGTAATCACGGCTCCTGATAACTCAAGAAAGCAAGGATCAACTATAATTGGCAGTCTGCGGCCTTCCCACCAGACAAATATAACGAACAACAAAGTATGGTTGAAGCTGATTGGGTCACCCGAAGTGGTTAGCTTGAGAACCAAAGTGTGGAGAGATACGCTAACCCATATTTGGTATAGTCGAAAGACGGTCCGAAATGGTCCGGTTTCTTTATCTTGTATCGTAAAATACAGCGATGTTATATTACCTGACCCTGTGTTTTATACAAGGTTGTTATCTTCTAGCTTGAGATCTTACACCATTTTGAATGAGATGGTGGGCCCTCCGTTCACCTGGCTGTGCACTCAATATAAAAATGGCAACGTAATATTCAAGTCAGAAATGGTCAAGGTGCTGGCTATGCCTCTAATTGATTGGCAAAACGACAACCTGTCTCCCCACATAAACAGTTCTTCCTGAGCTTCCTCCAGTAGGAGTCCGAATAATCGACCGTGATTTCACTCCCTGCGGCCACTCCGCGAGATACAACGAGTATGCGTTCTATCCCACGCCAATAGAACTTCTGGAACTGAGTATTAGGCCGACACGAGTGGTTGATAAAGCGAGTAAAATTACCCATTTGGCCCTGGAAGACCTGATATGGTCGTTCGGGGGTTCCGCCCATCATCACGTCCACGCCGCCAATTCCTCGAGTGACGAGACCGACGAACTCGGCAATGGCTGTGCCTCGGTCGAATTCCTGCCAGATGTTAGCGACCACTGTTTGAAGGGCAGTGTGCAGGGGCTGGAAGAGGTATCTGTTAGCAACGTACGCAGCGGGCGATTACCCCGTTATTCTTCCCATTAGTTGTGTTATACAACTGGACAGGAGGAGGATAACGAACACCACCAAACAAAGCCGGAAAGCAAGAACATTGGTTGGAGATCACATCGTCGGTCTGCTTTTCTTTGCACAGTTGACAAATATTAGGGTCAATTCCCAGCTCGCGTCGAGGGTCATTTCCACCGAACACATTTTGATCGATCACGCAGTCGTCCACGAACTGGTAATTGAAGTCGTTCGGCAGTGTCAGATGGGAGTAGGTGGTTCCAAGTGGCAATGCTGGCCCAGTATCTACGGTGACCCATTCATGAGGGTGACCGGAATATCGACAAGGCCCATTCTGACTAACAACTCGAAGAAGGTCTCTCCAGCCAGGGTGAAGAGTATCTGCGGCGACTTCTAGGCTTGAAGCGATGTGGCGCAACCGAGGCATGAGCCCGTTATCAAAGCCTATCCTATATTTGCAAATGCGGTAAATACCGGCCCCGGCGAATATTAGGCTAGCCCAACCGCCGGAATCTTTGATTTCTTTGTAGCCACGCCAAACGGCCCTTGGGTTCAATCAGCGATGAGTTCTGACATACGAGTATAAGAGCGGACGAAGTATAAATCGAAACTTACATTCTGTTCCTGAGCTCCTTTTCATGCCACGTTAATGTGCTGCAGGCTTCTTTCAGGGCTGCCATTCGAGCTTCGGCATTCGTATAGTGAGGGCACTCGAGTCGAATTGATGCAATTCGTGCTTCATAGCATTCCACCCAGTATGCTTGCACTATTATTTCAAGAGCTCGCGATGACCGGCTCTGGTCACAATATTTCTTGCACAAACCATTGACAGCCCGAAAAACCTAGACGCATCGCTATTAGTATATCACAAACTCATTGCTCGGGTGACCAGAATTCACACGTACTGTTTCACTGACACCAGTCCCGAGACTGAATTCTGGTCTACGGTCCTGCACTTCAGTTAGCGACGGTAAAAACCTGACTGGCTTCACCTGAATGGAACACGCACCGGAAACGAGACACTCAGTGTGACTGGAGAATGCACCTGTCGCCAGATCCCCGCGATGAATTTATCTATGGAAGAGGGCTGCAAGGCGGGAGTAGCTGCATCCTTCGTAGGCTTTTTGCGCTGAGGAAAGCGGGTATCGCTGTGGAATTGTCGAACTGACGGTTTGATTCTAACGTCGGACGGCCGTAGACGACTCCCGGTGTCTGGATCGCTATCTGACTCCTCCGTTGTCACCGCTATGGCAGACGACTTTGACGGTCGTAGCCCGCTAACAGTCTTATGTCGAACATTATCACAGCCATCCTTGGACGTGGACTGGGAGTTCGCCGGATACCCCTGGATGGATTGTAAATCGAACTTTGACTATTCCCAGTGTCTCCACCTTAGTATTTGATTGCGTTTAATTTAATCACAACTCCGAACACTTACCGATGCTGGGGACTTCAACGAGGTAACCTGGCTCGGCGTTGTAGTCAAATTTTGATTGTTTTCTACACTCAACCATCCCTAGGAAGCAATAAAATTTGTTAATTGGGTCTGGGTTAGTCTAAGGAGTTTGTCGATCCTCTCATACCAATGGCAGCGACTTATCGTTACTCGTTATGACTTTCGAGATATTCGACTCGGGGCTATCCGAAGCGCATATTACTGCGTCAATACGCAGGCAAACACCATCGTGCGGACTGAAAGAGGCCAGTGTGGAGGCGAGCTGACTCGCAAAATCTGTGTCAAACAAATCCGACAGCTTCGTCACGACCGGGTGGTGCACGATAGGATGCATTGTGAGGTGGTTGTTACCATGTACTACGCAGCGGTATAGGCGCCAGCTGCCAAAACCCTATTTCCAGGAAAAACTGATGCCTTAATGCCTAATTTTGGCCTGGCACCTGACCGCTTTTTATACCGCTCTGTACAATGTAATGTAAATCATAAGCTTGTGAAAATGAAGCTTTTTTGCCCTATACAAATGCATGTATCTCCATTTTTGAAGGTGGTTTACTCCCCATGTATGGAAATGAAGCCTTTTTCTCCTATACAAATGCATACATCTCCATTTTTGAAGGTGGTTTACTAGCCTCTCTCTCTCCATGTATGAAAATGAAGCCTTTTTCTCCCATACAAATGCATACATCTCCATTTTTAGGGTGGTTTACTCTCCATGTATGGAAATGAAGCCTTTTTCTCCCATACAAATGCATACATCTCCATTTTTGAAGGTGGTTTACTAGCGCCTCTCTCTCCATATATGAAAATGAAGCCTTTTTCTCCCATACAAATGCATACATCTCCGATTTTTGGGGTGGTTTACTCTCCATATATAGAAATGAAGCCTTTTTCTCCCATATAAATGCATACATCTCCATTTTTGGGGTGGTTTACTCTCTATATATGGAAATGAAGCCTTTTTCTCCTATACAAATTCAAGCATCTCCATTTTTAAAGGTGGTTTACTATTTCCCGGTATGGAATATCTAGTCCCCGAGTGTTAGTCTATATTTAAACTTACCAGCTGTTATCCCACACACGAACCATACCTAAATCATTATTCCTTACACTACAATGCCCCGCCCTCGCCTTGACCTTGACCCTTATAGAGTCGAAATACTCGATCTCATCTCTAAAAAAGTCACACATACAGCTATTTGTGATAGTCTTAAGGAGAAATATAGTATTACGATTAGCCTCCGTTCGCTACGGAGAAGCCTCGCAGTATGGAACCCAGCACCAACCAATCGCAATAGTACGACTCGAGTTGATTATCGAGACCGAGTTGCAGAGCTTTTACCTCTTTATAATACGCAAGATATCCTTCGAATTCTTTCCTCGGAGGGTATAGCTTCGTCAGAGCGGACACTTTGCAGGATCAGGGCCGATCTTAGGATTACACTTAGGCTTACCCCTAAACAGCGACAGGAACAGTTTGATAATCTTTAAGCTATTCTTATCACCGAGTATGTTATTAGTGAAGTTGAGGATTATAGCTACCGGACTGTATACCGCCATCTTCGTTCTATAGGGCTCTTTTATACAGAGTAAGTGCTCCACTCTACACTCTAATTCTCTATAGTATACTAACCTACTTTATTTAGGGCCCAAATTGAGCTTACGCAACGCCTCCTTCGGCCTGAAGATGTACAAAGCCGGCTTCTAGGTGCACGGCGCGAAAGGATAAACTATATATCTCTAGGACCAAACGATGTATGGCATATTAATGGACATATGAAGCTCGAACCTTTCGGTATTAAGATCTACGCTACAATTGACGGATACTCTCGTTATATCGTCTGGGTATACGTTAGTGTAACCGCTCGCACTACGGTTAGCGTTCTGCGCCAAGCTACTAATGCTTTCTAAGAAAGAGGATTTCAACCAAGGTTAGTAGGTATCACAGTCTATTATATAAGACTATTAAATTGACCTATAGATGTTTTTAAACTAGGAAATTCCGATCTAACCGAGGCGTAGAGACTGTGCTTTTAGCTGATAGCCACTACGAGCTTCGTCGCCAAGCTGATCCCTCTGTTAAACCTAAGGACTGCTAGATCTATAGAAGAAGTGTTAATAACCAGCGTATTGAGGCATGGTGGGGGATGTTATCAAGAGCCACCACTGGGCTCTTCTATGTAAGTGCACTCACTATAACTTCACTATGACTTAATATTTAATTTGATTTTATACTAATTTACAAGAAGCGCTTTTTTCGCCGCCTAGCACACGAAAACCGCTTTACAAAAGATAGTATTCCCGATCAAGTGTCTCTTCTTACTGTCTATATAGAAACTATACGGAAGCGAGTTAAATCATATACCCAGAACTAGAATACCCACCCTATCCAACTTCATACTCGCCAAGCTCATCTAGTTCCAGGAAAGCCAGCAATGAACTTTCATTTACCGAAAGGAGATGCGAGAAATTTTAAGTGTGAGATTGACCAAGACCTAGTATCAGAGCAAGCACAGCTTTTAAAAAGGCTTCAAAATGATATATAAGAATGGGATCCTGATCAATACCTTCCGCCGCCTACATTCCTATAGTATCACTAGCAGCTGGTTGAAATTGGAGAACAGCTTATAGGAATACCGTTTGACCCTATAAATCCGGATCTTCGGTTTACTAGTGATACCAAGTCTCCATTTGAAGCGGTGTATATGAAGTTACGGGAGCGAGCGTATAGGCATTTTGCCTCGGGCCAAGATCCGATACTCGACGTTTGTATAAAGCCAATAGATACAGCTAAATGGGATCCGAATAAGGAGCATGCAGTGGATGAACTTGGAGAGAATGTCTCGGAGATATTTGATAAAGAGGAGTATTAGGAGTATGTCTCGGAAGGGTAGAAAATGTATTTAATATTAATATTAGGAATCAGCCTAGTATATAGATCTATGTCTCGGTTAAAAACATCGTTAAAATTAAAATACTAATTGATCTAAATTAAAGTATTATCCATCTAAGTTCTTCACATTTGTATTCATCTACACATTCATCTACACATTCATCTACACATTCATCTACACATTCATCTACACATTCATCTACACATTCTATCTACTCTCTACCAATATGCCTTTCTCAGATGCAGCACAAAAGGCTTTAAAGATCCTTTTACGGGAGCTGACCTCTACAACTCCTACACCTACCTCCTCGGTAGCACCTACAACGCCGGCTATACTATCATCGTCGGCAATACCTTCGTCTGCGGGGCCTTCGCTACCTACACAAGCCCAGTATACAGGCACTCGGTTCGCTGACCTCCGGAGTAATCCAGTCAGCGGAAACCGCCTTACTTATACCAAGAAGTACCAGGAGGCCGAGGCTGCTCGGAAAGCCGCGGAAGAGGCGAGTAAGGAGATCACTATAATAGTGATTTTCTATCTCCAGGAGAAACCAGGGGAGACAAATCCAATTCCGGATAGTAAGTTTTTACTATATGATCTAGAAGCTAAAGCTAATTATTTTATAGCTTCAATTTCGGTTAGCCTTCGTCCTAAACAAACGGTCTTGAATATCGACAGCTTTACGAGAGATTATTTTGTTAAAGGACTACCGAGTATCGTCGATTTTAGCCTAGGGTGGACAGACAAGTGTTACTTTACTGAGGAGATGTAGTACGTGAAGGGGAAATACAGTCCTCGATAGATATCGGGAGTGGATGATACCTTTGACGGTACTATAAAGGAGCTTGTTGATAAGCTTCCAGGTCGAAAGGCGAAGCTCCATGTGGTTGTGAAGCGGTATAAAGATACGTATTCATTCGAGGCTGATCCATAGGAGGATAAGGCTCCTTTCTATATAACTACACCAAGTCCAGCACCTACTAAAGTGGCTACTTTAGTGGGTATAGAGTCAGTGGACACAGAGCCGGTGAGAGCAGAGCCAGCGAGGCGGAAGCGTGCTAGATCTCCGGTTACCACACCTCGGCGGAGCCAGCGGAGACGGAGGGTTAGGTAGATATGTGGATTTGTAACTAGGAATTAATGCAAAAAGGCTTCATTTTCATACATAGAGAGAGAGAGGCTAGTAAACCACCTTCAAAAATGGAGATGTATACATTTGTATGGGAGAAAAAGGCTTCATTTCCATACATAGAGAGTAAACCACCCCAAAAATGGAGATATATGCATTTGTATGGGAGAAAAAGGCTTCATTTCCATACATGGAGAGTAAACCACCCCAAAAATGGAGATGTATGCAATTGTATGGGAGAAAAAGGCTTCATTTCCATACATGGAGAGTAAACCACCCCAAAAATGGAGATGTATGCATTTGTATGGGAGAAAAAGGCTTCATTTCCATACATGGAGAGTAAACCACCCCAAAAATCGGAGATGTATGCATTTGTATGGGAGAAAAAGGCTTCATTTTCATACATAGAGAGAGAGAGGCTAGTAAACCACCTTCAAAAATGGAGATGTATGCATTTGTATGGGAGAAAAAGGCTTCATTTCCATACATGGAGAGTAAACCACCCCAAAAATCGGAGATGTATGCATTTGTATGGGAGAAAAAGGCTTCATTTTGATGAATTGAGAGACACCTGACAGAATAATAGTACTTTGCTTATTAAGGGAAGTGTAATAGTAATTCAGGTATTTCTATTTTTCTGCCGGTCTTAATTCAGGCTCCTAGGCCAGAATCAGGCATTAAGGCATCAATATTAGGGGGGGAAATGGGTTTTGGCAGCTGGCGCCTATACCGCTGCGTACATGTACCGTAGGTACCTCGGGATCAGGTATAGTTCTACCAGTTACCGCGCCACAGATTCTGCCCGGGCAGAATGGGCTGACTCAGCAATTCCAAACCTTAAATTGCAGGCTTGGCACAACCTCACCGTGACGTATTGGGTTTTTCTTTCGGCTCTTATTGTTCTGATAGATGAATATAGAAAACATATAATGTGTGGGAAGTCTACAGACTATGCAGTACCGGGTAGCGAGTCTATATGTACTATTGAGTGAGCGGTGCTGACCTATGTAGAGAGCAGAGAGAAATCTATCTAGATCCCGGGGTTTTCAGGATCAAAGGGCAAAGGGGGCAAGGAATGTCGGGTAGGTTAGTGGAGTCCGACACCGAGAACAGACGACGCTAGCTTCAATACCTGAGCTTTGAAGGTTGGTGGAGAACACTGGTGAAATTATTATATAGCCGTTCCCATCCTTTCTTACCACGGTCCTCTTCTTTCACCCTCCCCTTCATAGCATCTTTTTTCAGAACCCCAACATGTCGACACCCGAGCATGCCGAGGCGCCTTCTCCGCCTCTAGGAAGAGTGAAGTCAGTTGCTTCCTATACTTATGATAACATCACAGGGTGGAAAAGCGTACGTATCCTTCGGATTGGAAGGGGGATGTATCATGATGTCCGGAGACGTCTTCCTTACTACTGGAGTGATATTCGCGATGCATGGACGTACAGAACTGTCGCCAGCATCGTTCGCATGTACTTTGTGAAGTATGTTTACCCCAGCCCTGTGATGCAACTCAAGGCTAATACATCTCTAGTATGCTCCCAGCCATAGCCTACACTCTGGATATGCACCGGAGAACTGGTGAATTCTATGGCATCAACGAAGCACTCTTCTCATCTGCCCTGGCCGCGATGGTATTCAGCATCCTTGCAGTGCAGCCACTTACCATCGTCGGCATTACAGGGTTGATCTCTTTGTTCAACTACACCATATACGACATCATAAAAATCTATGACCCCTCGATATACCCCCAATTCATGTGTTGGGTTGGTATCTGGGGAGCCATATTCCACTGGATTGTTGCTCTGTGCAACATGTGTGACTACATGCGCTACGCCACGGATTTCTCCAGTGAAACATTCGGCTTTTATGTCGGGACCATTTACATCAGTCAGTTTTGCTAAACACTACTTCCTCGAGCCGAGAAGAACAATTACTGACCAAGAGGATAGGCAAGGGCGTGGAGGAATTGATCAGCGAGTTCACTAGCAAAGGGTCTGCCAGTGGCTTCGTGAGTTGCATGATCGCAATACTCTATTTCTTGACGATCTACAGTCTGGAGATCATCGGGTCAAGTACCGTCTGGACGGCTGCTTTTCGGGGTTTGCTAGCGGATTATGCATATGTGGTATGTAGAGCATTAATCCGTCCGGCTGCCACGCAGGTTCACTTACAGTATTCTCTTTTATGTTCATAGATCGGCACCATTTTCTGGGTGGGATTTTCGCACATCCCTGGCCCTCTCAAAGCGGTGGATATGACCCGTGTTCCTATCAGCAAAGCCTTCTACCCAACGCAGCCGCGAGGCTGGCTGATTCACTTTTGGGAACTGGACGCTAAATGGATCTTTGTGGCGCTGCCATTTGGATTCCTGGTTATGTTGCTTTTCTACTATGATCATGTATGAGACGCTATCCGGAGTATTCTCACTCCTAGCTATGGTGCTAACTTATAGACAGAACGTCAGTAGCTTGACAGCACAAGCACGGCAATTCCCACTGAAAAAGCCTGCTGGATTCCATTGGGACTTCTTTCTTCTCGGATGCACCACCTTTATTTCGGGCATCATTGGTATTCCTTTCCCTAACGGTTTGGTTCCGCAAGTATGAAAGCCCGCTTCAGTCTTCAATCGTGTTCCTAAGTGTTAATGACTCGTTCCAGGCACCCGTACACACAGATTCATTGACAGTCTACGAGACGGACCTCTGTATTGTGCCAACTGAGGAAGGAGAAGGGGCCGAGATTCGCCGTCCAGTGGTCAAGGCAGCTGCAGTGATAGAACAACGCATATCGCATTTCGTCATGGGGCTGGCTATTATCGGCACTATGACAGGACCCCTCTTGATCGTTCTCCACACTATGCCTGCTGCGGTGTTCGCAGGCGTGTTTTTCACTGTTGGATGGGGCTCTGTTGGTTCTAGCGGCATCATGCAAAAAGCGATTCACCTTATTCAGGAGAACCGTTTCGTGCAACGTGACGAACCTCTGTTGAAAGTGCGGAACCGCAAGGTCTTGCTATGGATTTTGTGTCAGCTCATTGCGGTTGCGGCATGCGTTGCCATCTCCGAGACAATTGCTGCTATCGGTATCCTCTCTCCTCCCGCTTGGCTTTATGGAAGTGACTAACAGGGCTCTATTTCCCAGGCTTTCCCGTGCTGATCATTGCTCTAATTCCCATTAGGGTCTTTATCATTCCTAGGTGGTTTTCTGGGGATGAACTCCATGTCCTAGATGATATGACGGCCAACAATAAGGCCGTTCTAGCCAGTCTTGGTGGACCACCCATATTCCCTGGAGAGAAGCGTGTTCAGGACTATGGAATCGAGCGCCGCCACTCGGAGCAGAAGAGGGGAATTGAGAGACAAAGAGCTGGCAGTATTCATCGTTGAGGTATCCAAAAACACTGAAGACTCGCTGATCCGCAAACGTGCTCAAGGGGTTCCCTAAAGAAGATCAATCTTATCACTTCGCTTAAACATAACATATGGCTAGCAGGCAGATTCATCGCAAATCTTCAAGTCTCTTTGAACTATTTACTCTAAACGTCGTATGCTAAGGAGTAGTATATCAAGCTTTGCGCTTTATCACAAGAGTTTATTGCCTTGGAAGTTGTGCGATGATTGACCGATATTAACTCCAGGGCTAGTTATTGCTGACCGTGGGTTTGCGGTCAATTCGGTCACTTTGCGTTTGTGTGTTAAAGGCCTAGTATATGTATGTAGTATGGTGCCGCCGCTTTATGAGGGTGTTCAAGCCTGCTCACTGAGTGTTTCACAGGGAGGTACTCAAGTCGTACGGAAATGCAAACGAGACAAAGAGACAAACACGAGATTTGTCGTTCGTCTTGTGAATTTGGCAAGTTGGACCATCCAGGGCTATCTTTACTTATATGATGATCAGGTCTTTGGACGGGTGCTCCCGAGGTGTGCAACTCAATCCGAGTGGAGTCCATGTGGACAGTAATTCTGTGACCTCAGCCCTGAAGCGAATTTCAATATGTAATACTCAGCGTGCCTTGGAATGCTAAATAAAGCGAACTCTTTTTAACGCCCATAAATACAAGAGTGTAATCTATTTCAGTAAGATACACGGACGTACTGTATCTAAACTTTGTAATATATCCGATTTCCTAACCTGGACTAGGGTGTCTTGGCACTGGGGGGCCAAAACAATCACCTGGGCAAGCGTAAGCAAAGCGGCTTTCCAAGGTTCTTCCAAGGTTCTCTTCCAGTCTCTGCATATTTCACCTCGATATCATTGTCGACACCCCTTTTGTGATCCACCCCGCTGAGAATTTATGACATTTACCACCTGGAAATCAGTCGGCCCAAAGAAAACACAAACTAGATGATTATGGGCTGGTTGAGGCATATATTTGGCAAATTTTCAACCACATCAGAAGAGCGAAAGAAACAGAAAGCGAAGAAACGCCGGAGTAAAGAACACCGTCGACGAGTTCGAGAACGAGAAGCGGAATTAAGACGTCGACCTGGAGAAAAGGTGCCTTTTTTCTTTGGCTCGCCTTTCAAAACATACGAAGTGAACTATCGCGGACCTGCAGCGGGCGGATGAAGGTTTTGCTCTTTTTGAGACTACAGCAATATAGTATTGTTAGTATTCTCTTTTCAATGTCTTGTGCATTCCTTTCCCTTCATTGGCCTCTCTTACTTCAAATATGAAAAAAAGCCCCGCTGGGATTTAGTGTCTCGATATCTAACTAGTTGATGTTATCTTTTAGGCAGATTAGTCGCTCAATGCCAAGGCCGGAGAAATCATGCCAAATTCGGTGTAATTGGACGATGCATCAGCATCCCGGGCTACCTGGTGTTAATTTATTTTTGTTTGAGATGGGATGCCTAAAGCCTGCTTGTTTAGGCCTCCTAGCTGAATTCAGCCCTGGAGACCTCGCTTGTGGCATACAAGTATGTACATGAATAAAATATCATCCCTTATTCTCTTCTCCTCTGAGTTGCCCGGGAGCTCCCGCTGTCTCTAAATCATACGACAGATGGCTTTGAGCTTCAGTTTGAGACAAGTTGCGTGTTCCCATTTTGTGCTTTACTACCAGATAGAAAATACTTGAGTGAACCGGTATATTCCATGCCTATCTTATATTCATGTGTGGTCGGTGTTGCCTTCTGGCTATACTCCTGTCCCTCTGGTTAATGTCGAATTCGAAGGAAACCACGACGGTTTATATATGGGGTGCAAGCCTTTCGATCGCCCTCGATGCATATTCTTCAAAATATGGAGAAGATAGAATATACTCTGGTCCATGGTAGTACAAGACTCAAGTGCGCATTGCACTGTTGGAGCTTGTGTGAGAACACCATCAATGATGAGGTTGGACCTCTGAGGCGTAATTCGGCGCGCGCCATATAGGATAGGCTATCCTTCATATGATTAGTAAAAAGCAGCAACAAGAGTATGAAGAAGTTTGAAGTACTCACTTAGAATATCTGAAGTGAACAAGATTTTGTATGTATAGGTCTAGGAAGAATTTAATGCAGCAGGGGAAGGTTAGGCGAAGGTGCTTTATATACTGGAAGGAGCATGTGTGAGAAGATTTCACTTGTCCCACATGTCCTTACTTCCTCTTTCTCACTTCTCTCTCACTTCTTGTCCGTCTCATCTTATTTTATCACCACAGCCCAGCGGCGTGATGATGATGCATACCGGATGATCACTTGCTTCCCAGAATCCATTCACCAAGGGCGCAGTTGTAGCTGCCACGATCAGAACTAGGAGGCAAAGCCAGACACCGTCCGCGGAGCAGACTCTCATTATGTGGACTCACAAATCCTGCAGCTAGGTACGCTCGTCTATAAATAGGGGTTGCCTTTTTTCATCTTTCATCTTTCTTCTCTCTTCCCATCTTCCCATCTTTTTCTTTTCTTTTCGTTGTCTTTCTTTTATTGTCTTCTTTTTCCTTTTCTTTTTTCTGTTCTTCCTTTCTCGTTTCTAAATTGAAAGCAATGGCTATGTCGTCAATCGTTTTCTTCGTGTTTCTTACGGCAATGGCCGCATACTGGCATGACGAGCTCTTCCAATTAGTTGGAAGAGTTGTCGTGGTTACCGCTGCTGTTGTGACGGGGGCATGCTGCCTCAGCAGGTAAGTTTAGGAGGTTCCATCTTTCATATTCTCATGGCACCAAAGACGGTTTCAGGAATACCTTTTCCCCGAGGAAGTCATCGACTCGAACCTCAAGTTAGCCTGGCAGGTATGCGCACACCTCTATTATCAGGATTGCGTCACCAGGCTGTACGGTTCTCGCAGTGTTAACACGCGTTTGTCGCCGCGTCAACCAGTCCCGCGGCTGGAAACAGTGGAGATCAGTCGCGCGAACCCATCATGGTGCCTCTGGGTGCCGCTGATCCGGGCCCGGCCACAACAGTCAAAGAACAGAAACACAAAAACGCAGAGATCCGAGAGAAGCACCAGGTTCTTCTCGACAAGTGGGATCTCGTCAACACTCGCTGCTGCAATTTGATTGTATGCGTAGTGATACACAGACTATGTCCCGTATGTGATTTTTCAGGCCCACGTTGCGTCGATCCTGTGTTGTCGTGTGTCTACTTACCCTATTCTGCAGCTTCCCTCAACATTGCGACCGATGGACTTCCCTTCCTGGGTAATATGGGCCGGACCGGCATGGACGGCCAGTTTGCCCGTATGATCCCGCAGCGCTCAGCAATCGACTGGCGCCCCCAGCGCCCTGCCAGCGACCGCAAGGCCCGCGCTGGAAATCCTTGCGCACTGTCATTGGCCAATAATAGGGCAGTTTTACACCTCTGTAGTTAGTCTTTATAGTTTTATTACTCCACTTAGTGGTGCAAACTAGCGCCACCAAGGCTTGAATCACACTGCGCGATACCCAAAAAAAACGATCGCTTCCACCAGATCTCTAATAATAAACTACATAAAGGGCGAAAATTTTATAATCTATAAGGGTGTTCCCGCACTAGCCCGTGCGTCCTCGGCTCGACTATTTTACCCAATACACTGAGCATGATCCCCTATCCACTTGGCTACAAAGTAGATCCCTGTTCATTGCTCCTGCAATTTTATTCCAATCCATCGCACGGGACTCACCCCTGAGCGTCCAAGCGCGAGATAACATCAGCCCGGTTTTTTATCTCGCATGCTATAATTCTTGATTAGCCTCTGAGCGAGTGCCACCGGAGAGCAATTCCCTCCCTGAACATTCGAACAAGAACCATGGATTAATTGAGAATGTAGCGCGTAGAAATAGCAATTGCGCCAAAAGACACATTCCATTATAAAGACTTTCAAAATCAGTAAAAAGATAGTAGAGCTAAATAGATATCTTTATTTAATCTAATTAATAGCTAAATCTAGTTAAAGAATTTCAGAGTCAGGATATATAAAAACATCACCAGACTATACTTTCAACAGCAGCTATTTTATAAAGCAAATATATTGATAAAACAACAGCTAGCGATGTAACTTAGACTGTGAACTACGTCTCAGGATCCTAGGACCTTAGGAAAGCAAGATATTCCAAGAGTTCGATTTGGCAAGGGATGGTCGTTCCCCTTTCTTTTCCTATAGAGAAGTATCCTCTTTCTACAAGTAAGATTCCCTTTCTATCCAAGAGGTACCCCTTTTCTATACAAGCAGTTGTCTTTCCTTTGGACAGATACTTGTCCTGTGACCCCTAGTGTTGTAACCTATCACATGATTCATCCTGTTGCCTTAGACCTTGCAAAACTCCTATCACTTCTTATTCAAGTTGATTGGGTCTCCTTTCTCTATTCTATCAACTCTTCATAGTGGGTCCGTAACAGAGAGCTTCGCCCAAACGTCCTTCATGAGGTCACCTCATAACACATTTGACGACTTGTGCTCGGAGCTAGATTCGAGTTCAACGTGGTGACCATAGGTTGCATTGGCCTCCTGAGTGCGGTTCTGGAATGCGAAGCCTGCAACTGTTATTAGAAACGAGAATTTCCCTACATGGGACGGAACCGTACCTGGTTGAGCAATGTTTAAGGCGAACACCGCCAGGATCACCATCACCGACTCTAGCCCAATAAATAGACCCTCATCGTGGAAGACTGACCCATTATATCCTTGACCGAGCTCGGCAATACGGTAGCAGCAACGGATGAAGATAAAGAGAATAGATGCCGAGAAGAAAATGCCAAAGATCCCGAGGCGCGTCGAGAGGATCCGGCGTTGATTCACTTGCTGAGACTTCCGGTACCATTTGTAGCGGAAGAGGTAGTCTAACGCCATAGTGGTGAAGATAGTAAGAGTGAAGACCTGGAACGCCAGACCTGCAAGCGTGATGTACTCGCCCGATTTATCACTACCCACCGAAGTCGATGATAACGCGCCGCCCACGGCCTGCAAGATCAAACTAACGATATCGCACGGCAGAAACACCCACACGTATGTCTTGACCGGAAACCTGCAAGCTTCGGGGCCCAAAAAATTCGAGACGTTGGCGAGCGTGACGTAGATGGCGGCGGCGAAGAAGACGGGTGAGATTGTAATGGCGCAGATCTCGATGATGAAGCCGTTAAAGGAGAAGGGATTCTGGTATAGCAAAACGCGCCCGCCGTAACCGATCATCTCGCCGATGCAGCCGAGTGCCATCATGCTGGCGAAGAACCAGGTGCGGTAGCAGATGCCCTGGGCCAGGTGGATGAGCATGGAGACGCCGAAGAGGGCGATGAAGGCGATTTGCGCACCTAGGGCGGGCCGGTAGCCCTGGAGGGAGGCTTCGACGGGGCATAGGGCGAGGGTGCAATTGGCGTCGGGGCCGAAGGAGACCAGGTACTGGGAGGAATCATTTTGGCCGGCTGCTTCGGGGGACGACATAGTGGTAATAAGGGAGTTGGGGTGGGGCCGCCTCGAAGATGCGTTGAGTCGAGGGCGGAATGGACGAGACTCCGCTTAGGGTTAGGAAGTTTCGGAGTGACAAAAGAGGTGGCAGAGCTGTCAAAGAAAGCGGAGAAGGAAGGCAAACTGGCTTGATTTCGTGGTAGAGCAAACTAGTAGCAGGCCGGAGAAAGGGACCAGAGAAAGTAGATCAATGAAGAGTGAGTGGATGCCAGAGTGTTGTGAGCTGAGATGAAAAACCAGACTATGGTTCAAAAGTAGGAAGCGAGTGTAGTTATAGTAGACCAAAGCTGATGCCTGATGCGAGTGTAGTCTAGGTAAACCAAACCTGCTGCCTGCCGCACGACACGTCGTGTCGCGGCGATCGGTAATTGAGTATTAATAGGCCCGAGAGGGGCGCAGGAGGAATACAAAGAAACATACATGTGCAGACTGTGATTGGTCGAAAATTCGCCGATCCTGATGCACCATTTTTAGGAACTCTCGGCCCGATGCCGGTCTCCACCCAGATTGATAAGGAGGAATACACCAAAAGAGTAAGGGAATGGGAAGTTGGGAAGCCTCATAAGGTAGAGGTCAAGGTTCAGGGGTAATTCAATGACCCAGAAGTACTACGTAGATAACCTTCTACCTATAAACGTCGAAGCTGTTAAATCTATACGGCTTATTGACGATAAAATCATGGCTTTTACAAGAGAATGGGGACCTTTTCCATGGGATAAGGAAATATGGACTAGCACAAGAGCACAAGAAGCCCCACAATATCTAAAACCTATGGGACCATCCTGCCCAGAGTCCGGATCTTAATCCTGTTGAAGGTATTTGGGCTATTGTAAAGCAACGCTTAGGCGGAAGAATCTTCGATTCCGAAGAAGAGATGAAAGAGGCTCTACAAGAGGAATGAGATACAGCACCGGATGACTGATATGAATAGAAATATGCGCAGAACTTGTACGATCGAATGGAGGTCCTCTTCGAGGTATATAAGTGGTAGTTCAGGTTTCTTACAGATTTAGCTTATTGCACAGTGATGATGGACCCGATAATGCGGTCGATAAGTTTAATCGCTTGCGATATTTCAGAGCAATCTCCTTTGGCAATTTGTTTCCTCTTCCAACTTCAAGATAGTACAAATCATGCGCATTCTTGTCGAATGCCAAAAAGCAGAAGATGCGTCACCAGCGTTGGTGAGGTATCGCACTCCTCCAAGTTGTGGAGTGTTTTCAAGTCATCTCAGCCGATTCTGGCTCAGTGACCCGCGGCTTTTCATGCACCAATCGATTTGCCTCTTCCACTTCCAAACCCGTCTTGTGTTCAACATGCTCATCAGAGAGTTCCTCGCTTCCAACGAGGAAAGATGCAATGAGTCCAATTCCGGAAAGAACGACGAAGAAGATCCACATATCGGCAAGACTGTCCTTTACAGTCAACCTGAAAATGTTCTGCTGGGCCGGAGTGAGCTGTGCAACGATGTCCATAGATCCAGTTGGGCCATCCCGTGCAATTGCTGCCGCCATCGCAGGGCTGACTCCAGAAACAATGAGACGACCGCTTTGTGCCGAGAGCCGATTCTCAAGAATGACGCCGCCCAGGACGATGCTGAAGGCGGCGCTGAGTGCGCGGATTGCACTGGCCGCGGAGACGGCGACGCCCGCGTCGGCGGGCGGAAACCTTGCTTGCAGGGCAATGGTCGGTGCCTGAAAGTTGGGACCCAGGCCGACGGCGATAATCAGTTGATAGATGATGATCTTTGGCCAATTGATTTCTGCACCGAAATCGATCAACAGACCGGTGCCCAGAGTGGAGATAGCCATGCCTGCAATGATCATGTATAAGTACTTTCCCGTCTTCCGCATATAAAGACCTGTCCCGATGGTGAAGACAGACAGGGGAATGGCGAGAGGAAGGGACCAGACCGCCGAGTCAATTGGTGTTGCTCCAGTAACTACCTGGAAGTAGAATGGGATAAAGTAGGCCGTGCCGTACAAAAGGAATCCGTGCGTGAGATCCACCACGAAAAGGGCGATAATAGGGCGAGTAGTGAACAGTCGTAGAGGGAGCACCGGATAACGGGCCAGCTTCCACTCGATGACAACAAAGATACCACAAACCAACACGCCGAAAAGTATCAAACACACGACAATGGCAGAGCTCCAAGGATGCACCTCACCGCCATACTGGAGGCCCAGGAGAAGCATAAGGACCGAACCTGTAATAGCAATCGATCCCAGCCAATCAACAGCCATTAAACCTTTGATAATTTCGGTACGGGGATCGTGAACGTGGAGGAAAAAGACCAGGAGGGCAAAAGCGATTCCCTGGAACGGTAGGTTGATGTAGAAGCACCATCTCCAGCCGATATTTTCCGCCAGTGCTCCTCCTATGAGAGGACCGGAAGATATTGCGACGGCATATACCCCACCGAGAAAGGCAAAATATAGTCCGCGTTCTCTGGGAAGTGGGTCAGCGCATTCTAGGGAGCAGACTTTGGAGGCATAAAGTAACTTCATAGCTGAAATTCCCAATGTCACTTACCTTGGACTGACGAGATCTCCTATTAGAATCGTCACGATGAGCATCACGCCGCCGGCTCCAGCACCTTGAATAGCACGCCCAGCAATAAGAATGCCAATGCTATTTGCTACGGCACAAACCAAGCTTCCAATGAAAAAGACGAACATTGCCAGCAACGTAATTGGCTTGCGTCCAAAAATGTCGCTCACCTTGCCCCAAAACGGAGCCAAAGCGGACTGGGTTACGAGGTAAGACGAACCAACCCATGAGTAGCTGATTTGAGAAGCCTTGAAGTGCGCCGAAATTGTCGGCAAGGCGGTTGTGACGAAGGAGATGTCAAGAATAGCAAGGAACGACGCGACACAGAGTGCAATCATGATGGGGATCATGTTTCTGCGCGGCGTGTAGTCGCCGCCATCATCTTGTGATTGAATTTCCGCATTTTCAGACCGAGTCTCAGGATTTTCTGGTTGTTGCATCATCCACTCATGTCCTGAGTTGCTCGACACAGCTGGATCCATGTCAACGCGCCGCAATCTAGTTTGGGGCAAGAAGAATATTATCACGTGACAGCAGCAAAGCGATACTTTTCTGATGTTTGACCGAGTTGGCAAGGTACTGGGAGTCTGGAGAGACCATTTGATCTGGATATGTGGCTGGAGATGAATTGTTATTCCAGATTATGCTGTCTACGGAAAGTGATCTCGCGCTATGGGTTTCCTTGGTCTCTCTGACGTTCGGCGCTTTTCAGCCATTCAGATGAGGAGCTCCGCGGACGATGACCGGCGACTTCGAGCATCAGCTGCAGGCAACAGCAGTGCCACCAATAGCAGTGCTACTTCCTCACGCGATGTAACCTAAGGAGTATCATATATTGGGGTCCGTTCTACCGCGCCCTGGCGATTCCCATGGTGCAGATAAGATGCGAGGGAAGCTTCCGGCCAAAGAACACTGGGACAACTTCAGACAACTTCAGCCCCAACAGTCCCCGAACAGTCCTAAGAATAGCGTAGCTAGTGTTCTGCGTCTCATTTTACGTAATGTCTTCGGTCGCCTCCACCTTTGCAATCCCACGGTGCCAGGATGCCATGGTGGTTGCCGGCCCCGGTCAGCTTTCTCTGCGCCAAGATGGGCCTCTGCCTCACGTGGCCCCTGATATGGCCCTTGTTCGCACTGTTGCTGTCGCTATTAATCCCGCCGACGCCAAGATGCTCGATTACAGTCCAGCAGTGGGCGCTATTCATGGATGCGACTTCGCCGGGGTCGTTATCGCACTCGGCTCAGACACCCCGCGTCATCTTTCCATCGGAGACAGGGTTGCTGGGGCCGTTCATCGGAACAACTCCTGGAGCCCCGTGTCGGTGCCTTTGCACAGTATGTTGGAGCGACCGCTGAGCTGTTCCTCAAGATTCCGGACACGATGACTTTCGAGGAGACATCCACTCTCGGCATCGGCTTGGCTACCGCGGGTCTTGCCTTGTTTCGCGAATTAGAGATCCTGTCAGAAATCAATGGTATAGGAGCGTACAGTGTAAATCACAATGTATGAATTCTCTAACTCACTAACTAAAAAAGAAGAAAAAGAACAGCTGCCCAGTTCACAATTTGTGTGGACAGATTTGTAAGCAAAACCAATACAATTCGGACCGAGTGTATTCCGGCGGTAAAAGACGGGATGATTCCATATTTGTCGACAGGTCCCCGTGCGTATCGAGGATCTGATCGACAGGCCGGGCCGGCCGGGCCGGCCGGGTCAGATTCGGATGTCACACCGAATGCGGTGTGGGTCCTTGTATCTGGAGGCAGCACCGCCACTGGCACCCGGGCCATTCAACTTCTCAAGCTGTAAGCTCTTGAGCGTTCGCGTTTGGTTTTGTCGCACTGAAAACGGCTCGCTGATGACAGGACTCTGCAGGGCAGGATTACGGCCAATTGCAACTTGCTCGCCGTCGAATTTCTCACTGGTCCTCGGATTTGGAGCCGAAAAGGCGTTTAATTACCGCAGTCCGGACTGCGCCAAAGAGATCCGCGCTTACACACGCAACCGCCTGGTGTACGCGTGACTGCGTGTCTGAGTCAGACAGCGCCCAGCTGTGCTATGGTGAAATTGGTAGGGCTGGCGGGCGGTATTGCGCGCTCGAGCCCGTCCCCCAAGCCGTGGCAGCTGCGCGCCCGACCGTCCGCGCTTCGTGGCTGATGGTCCTGACCATGTTCGGCGGTCGCGTCGCGTTGGATGGTGAGTACGTGCGCGAAGCATCAGCTGCAGATCGGGCCCTGAGTGCGAAGATCTTTGCGGCTACACAAACATTGCTGGACAACGGTCGCATCAAATCTCACCCAGTCAGAGTCCTAGCCGACAGTTGGGTCGGTGTCACCCAGGGTGTGGACATAATTCGTACTGGGGCGATCTCAGGACAAAAGCTGGTTATCCGTGTCGACTGGTACGCTTGTCAAGAAATCCAGCTAGATATAATGCCCGCGTTTTCCAATGTTGCTACATGTAATATGCCCTAAATAAAATCGATACTCAACTAAGATACTTCGCATAAGACTTATCGTTACTGTAGTGCGGTAGATGTGGACGTGGCAGGGATAATCCATGGGTAAAAGGATGAATTAGAAATGGGGCTCTACGGACGTTCCTAGCTAGATAAGTGTGTGCTGTCGTCTGTAGCACTCAATAGAACAGCGTGCCATATCGGTGATCCGTGACCCCTTCCGCACAACTTCCATGCATCAGTATACCGCGAGCGTCTGCACTATCAGGCTCGCTGTGCCATATTATAGCATGTCTTTCATACAAGGTTTGGACTCAACACCTGAATCTGGTGTGAGACCCCAAGCTGTCAATGTCAATCCCTTCACGTGTCCGAGATGAGATCCTGATAAAATCATTGCTTACTGTTTCCAACTTATAGGCCGTTATCGATAACCCACCTGGTAGCTACTCTTGTCAGCTTGTTCGCAAATCATGCCAGATCCTTCGACTTATTAACACCTATATTGAGACCAACATCTGCGCCACCAACTAGCGCAGCCCTGCTCGGGCCCTGCGATAGTTGTCTTAGCTGAGCAATCTCCCTCAGTATCACTGATTAGATCAAAAACCCCAGAGCGAGTAGCAGGAACAGAAAGAACATCCCGTGCGAGGCTCGCAAGAATTGGGAACTCATATTGATTACACTTCCAAAAGACACATGGATTAATCTTGCGAGTACCTAGGGAAAAACTTAGCAAGAGATAATGAAGGGTAGTAGTGATTCCCTTACTACTTCCAAGATATTGTGTTAGCGCATCTTCTCGGTCAATCCCAGGCACTTGGGCTTTCTGCCTGTCACCTATCTGATCAACTATAGAGAACTGCTCTGTAGAAAAAACTACATGTAATGCCGGGTGGGTTTCTAAGTGACGCTGCTTGTATAGCTTAGGTATCTATCAAGGCTCTCGCGGTATTGTTTGCGATAAGGCCCATTCCAGTCCTCCCCAGAGAAGTAATCAAGCTTGTTCTGGGGTGCCACGATAGTCGCAATCGCATAGAGATCACCGTGGGCCTTGTCAGTCTCGGCATAAAAGTCTCTTTGCTTCTGTGTTGCATATTCGAGAGCAGTTCGCATTCAAATGTTATTATCTGTCATCTTGCTTTCTTTTGTCTAAGCTGGTCGCTAGACTTCTCGATATGATGAAATAGCTGATTATAGATACTAAAGACTATATGAATAGTGATATCCTTAGTCTTTGAGAGAACACTTGTGGAGTTGAAGCAGGGTTGTGTGATAGAAAGAAGATAGTCAACCTGCTTCCATTCGTCCTCAGTAAGAATAAGTTCAGAGAGGCCACACTCAGAGCAATACTTGTCGCAGACATTCTGTAGCTTTTTGGCGCGCCTAAGCATCAAAAATGTGGAATTCCAGGGTTTTGACGTCCTGCACCAGAAAAAGCCTTGGTTCTTTGGACTGGAACTCAAGGGATTGCTCTGCGCTGATGGCTTCTATTAACCCAGACTGCTAGTCGCCGAAGCTAGGGCGACATCAGTATAATATCAACTGAGTAAGGAAGTAAGGGGGGTGGGGGATTCTTTTAAGGGTAAGCACGATATCCTTATTCTGTCTCTGAGCTTCATCCAAGGACTCAGTTTCTGTCCATTCTAATTCCTCTCGGTTATTCTTCGGGACTGATTTCATCCTACTAAGAAGCTCGTCTAATATAAGTTGAATAACATGTGCCTTACACGGTATTCGAACAATAGGAGTGCCATCTGGTAGCGCGAGTGAATCGAGAGCTTTCTTGATACTCTCAAAATTAAATCTAAATTATATAAATTTATTTTTAAATTTATTTTTGAACTTTTAAATACACTAATTAAAAATATTAGATGGTAATAATATAAGAAAAATCTACTATATTTATTATATCTTTTACGGCCTTGTAATATTAATTATTTTACAGTTTTAAAATCATAATATAGGAAGCTTATCGAGTAATAAATAAGATTGAGATTTACTTATATTAATATAACTTTCTTACTGTAATTCATAATTTTCTTACTTCTAAAAATCCCCATCAATTCAAATATCATATAAGTAACATTAAGAGGCGTATAATTGAGCGCCAAATCAGGTCTTTGGAAGTTGTTGATGGAGCAATTGATCACGCGTCTAAAGCTTATGAAATGGGTATAAATAAGCTTCTAATTATAAAGAAATAAATTCTTGATTATGAGGCTGTAAATAAGAAAGAGAAGCAAAAGATCGACGGTCTAGGAGGCAGATACCTCATGAGTAAGGTCCTACTAGAGAGGAAGCACAGGCGATTATAAGAAGGCCAGTTGAGGCCTCTCAAAGTATTACTGCTGCTCTGGCCGAGCCTGAGCTTCCAGTCTCCCCAACGCTTGTGCGGCGCTAATTTGGATGCAGTGAATGTAATACTCTCGGGCATAGAAGGCCTCAATGCCCTTATCGTACCAGTACTTAATCCATTGAATGTATTTATTGTTGTTGGTGAGAAATAATGGTCTCAAATCAATGTAGGGTGCGCTGTCGGAGAGAAAGTGGCGGCTCGCTTACAGTGGCGGTTCGCTCACCGAATACGTTAGTTCGCCATAAAGTTCAACAGAAAGTCACCACAAGCTACTCGGAAGATGAATGAACCGAAGGCGTCTGCAACCTTGGAGAAAGACAGATTTCCAACTCCTGGAGGTCGTTCCATAGCTTTTGTTCAGCCTGACTGATTTCGTGAGATTCTGTATAGGTAGTTGGCTGAGAGCCCGACCGTGCCACTGTCAGACCATATGCACCATAGCCACGCCGTACGTGTTCCAGCAGATGCTTGACAAGGTTGTAGATGACCACCAGGCGAAGTCGGGCGAAGGAGAAGGGGTCGCCTTGATGAAGATCCGGTGAGTTTGACACCTCATATGACATAAGCCTGACCAGAATCGTATGCACGTGGAGGAGTTGGACATAACACGCAGAGAGAAGATGCCGCAGGGCAGCCGGTAAAACCTCATCATTCGGGGAGTTGAAGAGCCGAAGCCGATACATGACCAGGAGCAAGCTCTTTGATGCGAGACAGGCTTCCGTGTATATCTCGTATTCGTCAAGGTTCGGTAGGGCTCTCAGTAAAGTAGCCAAGGAATTGAAGGCATTCGTATGAGAGACGAGCTGGGGCTGGAACTCCAGGCGGGCGATCTCGTTGCGACACGTGGTGTGAAGCGTACAGAGGCTGCAACTTAGCGCTGCCAGCTGCTGCATCGAATTTGTGGCAATGTCATCGTGGGATAGCTCAGCAGATGAGGCGCTTGAGGTGTATGTTGATGTTGTTTCCATGGGAAGATCAGCGAATGATCCCCTGTCAGCTGCAGTCCCTAACAAGGACCATGGATCCGACTCAAACAAGGTCCCTGCCGGATAGCCACAACCTTGAGACATCGTTACTGATTGGAGCTCGTCAGATATCGTTTCCTGGTTGTCTATTGGTTCCGGGGTAGTTTGAGAGGGCCGAGGCAGAAGAGGTACCTCCTTCGGCGTTCTATAGCTCTTGCTGGTCGACTTCCTGCTTCCGCTTGGCCGTCCCCTTGGCAATGGCGCGCTATAGACACATTGTACCCCCAGACATCGGCATCGGGCACAGCTGCTCAAATCGTCCGAATCCGGTCGAGGGCATCTGATTTTCTGAAGATGACAGCGATCGCATGAGGCCCGTTTTGCCGAGGTTGGTCTGGTCGAACTGCTTTCCATTTGCGTGGTTCAACAGCAGGTGTCATGAGCGGAGCCATGTGACAGAATATTCGATATATGAATGGTAATTTATCTACCCCCCCTAAGTAACAATTCTGTCCATGTGGATCGACCAAGAGCACGCTAATTTTTGTTAGCGTGTTGTAATGCATATACCACCATACCATCATACGATTCCTATATGAATATGCAAGCAACAAGATAATTGATGAGAAGGATTAGACCAATAATCATTAAGATCAAGCTTCCTAATTAGGATTACTATTAATCTAGATAGTAGGGATTTATATATATATAAAGAGAGTATTTATATTAAAAATTAAGAACTAAGCATCATTTGCAAATCTATTATCAATATGCCTTCTTCCTCGCCTAGGGTTAATATCCCGCATTCTCCAACCTCTACCGGTATCTCCTATACGGCTACTAGCCTGTCCGATAGTAGCTGGCACTCTCCAAATACTAAGGTGAGTGCTAATGTGGTCTAGTTGATTATGTTCATACATAATATGAAACATTTAACGATTCGAATTGCACAAGCTGTTAGCCTTCAGTATAATGCCGTATAGCGGATTATAAAGCGAGCTCAATCCCCCTCCCCCCGGCGTTAACGGGGCCGTCCTACTTTCTAAGGTCTATCTTTCCCGGAAATCGAAGCTTTTATTCGACGAGATTGGGCTACCCGGAGGATGATATTTCAAGAGGTAGTTCGTGAGTTGAATCTACCTTATAGCGAGTCAACTTTTCGCAAGTTTTTAAAGGTCTATAGCCTTCGTCGTTATATTATAAAGTAAAAGAATTTCTTAAGTGATCGGAACCGCTATCGTCGCCTTGAATTCGCAATTTAATAGCGAGATTGGACGTTCGAAGATTGGAGTAAGGTTCTTTAGACTGATGAAACTTGGGTTTCCTCTGGTTACCATAAAAGATCGTATGTGACTCGGAAAAAGGGGAAGACGAACTCGACGATGATTGTGTATACGAAGATTGGCTAAAGAAGGTTGCTTGGATGTTCTGGGGGTCAATTTCTGGCAGAGAAAAAGGCCCTGCGATTTTCTGGGAAAAAGAATGGGAAATAATTAATGCTAAGCGGTATTAGGAGCATATATGCTCTTTAATTGGGGATTGGGTTCAACGCCGGGGTGATACTGAGAGTATTGTTATATAAGATGGAGCGCCGTCGCATAAAGCCCGTATAACGAAAGCATTGCTTCAGTCAATGGGTGTTATCTTGATGACTTGGCAGGTATACTCACCTGATTTGAATCCGATTGAAAGTCTGTGGGGCGTGATAAAGGGGGGTATACCAAATGGTAGATAGATAGAGAGAGAGAGAGAGAAATGTTGAATCTCCCTAGTGTCATATGACGTTTCTTCCTATGTATGTAGTCTAGTACTACCCTTCCTTTCCATCTTGATAGTTTACATACTACAACACACTCTACAATCCATATTGTACAGCCTTTTCATGATCTCTCCTACACAGTAGATCTTATCAAGAAAAGGGGGGGGGGATCCTGTAATTAGTATAAAATACAGTACTCTATCGTTATAAAACTAGCGAAATTACTAGTAGGGAGGGATCAGCATGCTTCACATGAACAGAATTTTTACTAGGGGTACTATCGTATACATAATCAGCCAATGAATCTACCGGTAGCAACGCAGGATGGCGGCTCTGTTCCGCGAGCCTGGGGTGCATCGTTCAATGGGTGTTGGTGGTGTAGATGTTGGTCTAAATATAGGTGTTAATAAGTCGAAGGATCTGGCATGACTTGCTAGATCCTTAATAGTGTCAAATTCGATAAAATAAATGGCTGTAGGAAAAAAGATTCACGTTTGCATTGAGCCCTAATAACCCACGTGGTACGCGTGGCGTGCCCGAGTAGAACCGGCCCGTGCGCGGACCGAGGCAGATCAGAACGGATCACATCACGCTAAGGCCTGAAATAGTAAAGCGGTATGCGTCCATCGACTCACGGGGCGAAACGGCGTGTCGAGATAGTGTACTTGTGTTCAATCTCAAACTTGTGCTGCAACGTAACTATGTCACGTAGGACGTGCTGCATCTTCTGCTCGAGGGCCAATCGCACTTCCCAACCCCTCAGCCTCACAGGAACCGAGATCAAAGCAAACCGATCGTTGGTAATAACGTTCGCTCTCGTTGGCCACCAACAAGGCATGTGTTGGTTTTTAATTCCTTTGAACTTGATCAGAACAACTTTTTTCATGTTTGCTTGTTTCTTTTTTCTTTGTTTCAGCCGTTTTATTCTGTTTCTAGCCATGTATTCTAACCAATCGAGATCCATCACCTGTTGGGAAAAGGATCCATCATAGGGATGGCGTGAAGGATGTTGTTTTCTTGTGGCTTCGGATGTTTAACAGCCAATGAAAATGAAGGAATCGCTTTCCTGAAAAAACAGTGTCTTGCTCCATGATATCGCTCGCTTTATAAAATTTATAAAAACTTAAGAAGGACGTGGTAGCTACTTGGGTCCTCTCATTCGGTTCCAACATCGTCGAACTTGTTATTCCTATATTTCACATATTCTATCATTCATCTTTGCACAATATGGATTACCAACGATCTGAGCCCATCGCTATTGTCGGCAGCGGTTGCCGTTTCCCCGGTGCTGCCAAGTCTCCTGCTGCTCTCTGGCAGCTGCTGGAAAGTCCACGTGATATCTTGACGGAGATACCTAAAGAACGTTTTGATGTGCGAGGCTGGTACCACAGAGACGGGGATCACCATGGCACGTCCAATGTTCTACACTCCTACACCCTGGAGGAGAATCTTACCAAGTTTGATGCCAACTTCTTTGGCATTAGTGCAGGTGAGGCTGAGTCTATTGATCCTCAGCAGCGCCTCTTGCTGGAAACTGTCTACGAGGCCCTTGAAGCTGGCGGCCACACCATCCAGTCTTTACGTGGCTCTGACACTGCCGTCTATGTTGGTGTTATGGGAGGGGACCATGAAACCAGCCTTCTCAAAGATGCCAACAGTCTACCAACATACTTTGCGACTGGCACATCGCGCGCAATTCTTTCAAACCGAATCTCTTACTTTTTCGATTGGCGTGGACCGTCTATGACTATCGACACAGCATGCTCTTCGAGTATGATCGCTGTGCATAATGCTGTTCAAGCACTACGGTCTAACGACTCAAGAGTTGCTATTGCATGTGGCAGTACTCTGCTTCTAGGCCCTGGTAAGCTAATTCTCCACACCGAGCGATCAAGCTAACGGATTCTAGAAATGTATGTGGCCGAGAGTAACATGCACATGCTGTCGCCCACAGGCAGATCCCGCATGTGGGATGCTGATGCTGACGGCTATGCTCGCGGCGACGGTATCGCGACAGTTGTTCTTAAGAAGCTGACCAACGCTCTTGCTGATGGCGACCACATCGAATGTATCATCCGTGAGACTGGCATCAACCAAGATGGCCGCACACAGGGAATCACTGTACCAAGCTCGGAGGCGCAAGCTGCACTTATCCGCCGCACCTATGCTCGAGCTGGTCTTGACCTTGCAAATCCCGCCGACAGACCCCAGTTTTTTGAGGCACATGGTACCGGTACCAAGGTAGGAGACCCTAAGGAAGCAGCCGCAATCCACTCCACCTTTGGAGGACTTGACAGTGATCCTTTGTATGTTGGGTCGATCAAGACCGTCATTGGTCACACGGAGGGTGCTGCTGGAATAGCCGGTCTACTCAAAGCGTCGCTATCCCTTCAAGCTGGCGTCATTCCCCCTAACCTGCTATTCAATCGCCTTAACCCGAGCATTGAACCTTTCATTCAGGGCCTGCAGGTTCCAACTCATGCAATGCCATGGCCTGTCCTGCCTAAAGATGCTGTGCGAAGGGCAAGTGTGAATAGTTTTGGTTTCGGCGGCGCCAATTCTCACGCCATCTTGGAGAGCTATCAAGCACAGGTTGACAACGCTAGCAGCGCCCTGGTTGTACCGGCTACTCCTTTTGTCTTCTCCGCAGCGTCAAACACCTCGCTTGTTTCCAGTCTGCAGGCACACTTGGACTATCTAAAAACCAACCCAGTCAACATGCGGGATCTTGCCTGGACGCTCCAGCAGCGTCGTTCTACTTTCTCGCATAAAATCGCATTCTCGGCTCCTGACGTCGAAAGCTTGATCCGAAAAATTGAGCTCAGACTCAAAGAGTACGAGGATAAGTCGGACGCGAACATTGGCGTCCGATCGAGTCCAACCCCTCCAAAGGTCCTTGGTATTTTCACTGGTCAGGGCGCGCAATGGCCAGCGATGGGTGCTGAACTAATACGTTCCTCCGAATTTGTTCGCCGCCGATTGCAGGAGCTTGATGGTGCCCTTGCAACCTTGCCAGCTACACACCAACCGACCTGGAAAATTGCTGATCAATTACTCCTTGATGCCAAGTCGTCTTGTATCACCGAAGCCGCTTTCTCACAGCCGCTGTGTACAGCAGTCCAAATTGTGCTCGTCGACCTCTTGCGCAGCGCCGGGATTACGCCAAGTTCTGTGGTGGGCCACTCCTCTGGTGAGATTGGTGCGGCATATGCTGCAAACTTTATCAATGCCCGGGATGCTATTCGAATTGCCTACTACCGTGGCTTTTACGCGAAGCTTGCAGGCGGATCGAGCGGGCATAAAGGCGCTATGCTTGCTGTTGGAACATCTCTCGAAGATGCCACCGAAGTGATTGAGCTTGACGCTTTTGTTGGACGTGTCGTGGTCGCTGCACACAACTCCCCAGCAAGTGTTACCTTGTCGGGCGATGCAGATGCTATCGTTGAGGTCAAGGCTGTCTTCGAAGAGGAAAAGAAGTTCGCACGTCTGCTTAAGGTCGACACCGCTTACCACTCACACCATATGCAGGCTTGCGGCGATGCCTACATCGAGTCTTTGCGTGCATGCAAAGTTGAAGTTAACCGAAACCGCGATACCTCTGTGACCTGGTACTCCAGTGTGACAGGTGGCGAGGTCATGGAGCCGACTACCCTACTTCAAGATTTATACTGGCGTGACAACATGGTACAGAGAGTCTCCTTCTATGAAGCTGTGACAGCAGCAGCTCAATCTGAGAAGCCGACTCTTGCCATCGAGATTGGACCTCACGCTGCTCTCAAGGGCCCAACACAGCAGAACATTGCCGAAACTGGCCTCAACCTTCCCTACGCCGGTGTTATGCACAGAGGTCTCAACGACGTTGAAGCATTCGCCGACAGTCTGGGCTACATGTGGACCCAATTTGGCCCTGAGGCTGTTGACTTCGCTGCCTTCGAGCGACTTTTCCTTGACGCTCCGGAGGCCAAGCTCGCCACTGGTCTGCCTTCCTACCACTGGGACCAAAGGACCCACTGGCAGGAGTCTCGCATCGCACGTAGGATGAGAAGTCGATCGGACCCATTCCACGAGCTGCTCGGTGTACCACATGTTGACAATACTGAGCTCGAGCGTCGCTGGTCGAATGTGCTTAAGATCTCAGAGGTACCTTGGCTGACGGGCCACACGCTGCAGGGTGAGCCGGTATTTCCAGCAGCTGGCTACGCTAGCATGGCCTTTGAGGCAGCCAAGTCTATCATTCGAAACAGGCCTGTCAAATTGATTGAACTGCGAGATCTGGTCATCGGAAAAGCCATCACCTTTGGAGGCGAATCCGATCCTACTGCTGAGACTCTGGTAACTCTAACGGATATTACTCCAAGCAAATCGAATCCGAAGTCTCGGGCAGCGAAATTCTCCGTTTACTCCGCTGCTATCAAGTCGGCGCGAGACCTTGAAGTCAACGCCAGCGGTACAATAAACGTGATCTTCGGTGAGCCTTCGATGTCGGTCCTGCCACCAATCCAGCTGGATTACTCAAATATGACCGAGACCGACTCGGAGAGATTCTATACTTCTCTCTCAACCATTGGGTATGAATACTCTGACTCTTTCCGCACTATGGCAAACTTGAAGCGCAAACTCAATCAGGCTACTGCTCTGATATCTAGCTTCGACTACGGTGATGAATCTGAAAGGCTAATGGTTCACCCCACGCTGCTTGACGTGGCTTTCCAGAGTGCTATCTTGGCATACTCGGCGCCTGGTGATGGACGCTTGTGGTCTTTGCACGTCCCAACGTTCTTCGAGTGTATCCGCGTGAATCCAGAACTCTGTGCTACGCTACCTTTGCACTCAGTCCAGCTTCCGGTGCGAGCTCAACTGCTTGCCCCTGAGGCGAACACTGTCGACTCGATTCGGGGCAATATAGACATACTCAGCGCCGGCGAGCAACACGCTATGATCCAGGTCCAAGGCGCTGCTGTTGTGCCCGTCTCGATGGCCACGGCTGCCGACGATCGCACTGTTTTCTCATACAACAAGCTCGGCGTCGCAGCTCCAGATGGGGAACTGGCTCTTGGCGAACTGAAACCATCAACGAATGACTTGGAACTTGGCACTGTTCGTGAAAGATTTGCCTTCTTCTACTACAGAAAGTGGACCTACGAACTTACTGAGGCAGACTGGATGAAGTCTGAGTGGCATTTTCAACGCCTGCGGGATTCGATTAATTGGACCTTGTCTCTCGTTGATGCTGGAAAGCATCCCTATATCCAGTCAGAGTGGCGGAATGACACCCAAACACAGATCGATGCTCTCTTTGAAGCGCATGCTGACTCCGTGGATTGCCGCTTGGTGAGAACCGTGGGCGAGACTCTTCCATCTGCCGTTCGACGTCAATCAACAATGATTGAACATATGATGAAGGACGGCTTGCTGGACGAGTTTTACAAATATGGCCTTGGCTTTCAGGTTTACAACGAGTCCTTGGGCAGAATGGTCTCCCAGTTCACGCACGTCTATCCAAGGGCCAAGATCTTTGAGGTAGGTGCTGGCACAGGAGGCGCGACCAAATTCGTTCTCGAGACCATCGGTCACACCTTTTACTCCTACACTTACACAGACATCTCCAGTGGCTACTTTGAGAAAGCCACTGAGGCGTTTAGCGACTGGAAGGATAAACTGATCTTCAAGAGCTTTGATACCGAGAGAACACCTGAGTCTCAGGACTTCCAGGAAGGCACATATGATCTCATCATTGCTTCCAACGTCCTTCACGCTACCGAATCGATGGAAAAAACACTCAACAACGTTCGCCGTCTTCTCAGGCCTGGCGGATACTTGATGTTGCTCGAAATCACCAACAACAAGCTTGCTGCGTTCACTTCAATGTTCGGCGGTATTTCAGGT